GGTCAAAAGCGGTTTTAGACCGGCTAGAGAACAGCGATAGTAAATCAGAACCACTTGCAGAATTGAGTGATAATGATTCGTGGGGGAAATTCCTCATCAGACACTGAAAACGATTCTGCGACTTTGCTCAGTGATGTGCGAACTTGGCGCTATATTTAAAATTTCAGTGTTTTTGGTTTGATTATATTATTGAATTAAATTTATTATTATTATATTATTATTTTTTATGATCATTTATTAAATTATAATTTATGATTTCGTGTTTCAAGTTTTATCATACCCGGGATGTTTACTAGACTCTTGTTCGGACAGATTTCAGTGAGTTATTCCTAAAAATTACAGGCCTACAATAAAAAAAATACATATTTTCATGCAAAATAATGGTACCGCTTTCAGCACCAAAAATCTGAAATAATCAGACCGCTAGGGAGGTTAAAGCAGCTGAAGGCGTCAGGAGGATGTCCCCTCCCGCTCTTGTAATAGCAATCCAACAGCTAGTTAGCTGCTCAGATTGCTTTTTATAAAAGAGATGACTGTTGGCTCTAAAAAAAAAAGCTATGATGCCTGGCATGGACATGATTTGGCATCAAGTGGTCATTGTGCTCTTCTATCAATGTCTTGCTCCTTATGCTTCTTGGCAACCATATCTTTATCACCACTGGTTGCTGACCTTTGGCTGGTTCCTTTACTATGCTTCTGCTTGATCCCAACCAGAAAACACTTGTTACCAACCTTTGGCCTCTTTGCTGACTACGCTTCCACTTCATACCACCTACAACCACTTGTTACCGACCTTTAGCTTGTGTACTGACCAAGGGCGGGCTGACAACTCATGGGGCCCCCGGGCAATAGGGGATCATGGGGCCCCTGTGTCCTTGCCCAAACTCAAAAAAGCCTTTCATTGTTTTCAAAAATGTCAGTGTTTTTGGTTTGATTATATTATTGAATTAAATATATTATTATTATATTATTATTTTTTATGATTATTTATTAAATTATAATTTATGAGTTCGTGTTTCAAATTGTAACATACCCGGGATGTTTACTAGACTCTTGTTCGGACAGATTTCAGTGAGTTATTCCTAAAAATTACAGGCCTACAATAAAAAAAATACATATTTTCATGGAAAAAAATGTACCGCTTTGAGCACCAAAAATCTGAAATAATCAGACCACTAGGGAGGTTAAACACCACCAAAAAAATTGTTTGTTGGGCAATACGTAGTGTTGACATCTTCCGTACAAGTGGAAGTGATGCAGTGTGCGTGTGACCTTGTAGCCACGCCCTTCCGGCCAGAACGAGCGATATACACAACAATTACCAGCAATGAGTATAATATCGTTTATTACATGACCTTTATACATAAATAGTGATACAAAAAAAATATAATATGAAGAATTCTGGTCTCATTATCTCATTAGGCCAATCTACTTTTAACATTTGTGTGTTTACGAAGATTTCTTGGACATAAACATCCGGGTCATCTTCTGTTTCCGCTCATGCATGATAGCGCTTGATAGATTTTTTTCGTACGACCGTCATACCAACGCATAGAAAATCGGTCGTTCGTATGCGAAATGACAAAATTTTTCACTGTTGTTCAACCGGATTTTTTCGTTCACAATATTGTTATCGGTTAAAACATCCTGCTCATCAATGAAGAGAAAATAATTCGATCAGTGGTTCCGCAAACTTTTTCGTACGATTTTCTTATCGTGTGTACGGGGCATTAGTAAATCACTATTTTCCACATGACAAGGTTTTACAATCCGACAACCAACATTGAAAAGAATGGAATTACAATTCTGTAGAAACCCAAATGTGGTATAGATCAGACGCATACATTGTTTAGGAGATTAGTATGTTCTATTTGCTGACGTGACATTGTAACTAGCATAGGCGTGTCCAGGGGCGGACTGACAACTCATGGGGCCCCGGGCAATAGGGGATCATGGGGCCCCTGTGTCCTTGCACAAACTCAAAAAGGCCTATGAAAAAGGTACCAGGGGCATCTCATGGGGCCCCCTACTGACCCCGGGCCCTCGACCAGTTTCCAAATGGTCAGTCCGCCCCTGGTCATGTCTGATAGCATCTTCTCACACATCAGTGTAATCACTTTTCCCGAATGTAACGCCCTCCCGGTACAAACTGTGGAATATGAACAGAGTTATGTTTTGGTACAAAAACAGACCAGAATGTGTGTTTTCTTTTAGACTTCCATCACAAATCCCCCAAAATTAGAGTTTATTCCTCATTTTATGATAGTGCGTGGAGTCATGCAATTTGTTCCTTTTTGACCCTGGGCCAAATGCGCGTCCAGAACTACCTGTTATTATAGAATGGATTATTCCAAACTGCCCAAAGATGTTTTAAACTTGTTGGAAATATTAACACTTACATTTTGTAAAACGTCTTTTCTTTGTGCTGGGGATGGAATGTAATGCAGAAAACCCTCTACATCTAAACCCAGCTCCTTCATGTTTCAGCTTTTGTAGGTGTAGTGCTCACCCCCGAAGGGTGCTGCTGGTAAGAGACAGGTTCTCCATAGACAGCACAGAGGCCACCAGTCACCCAAGCACACCAACAATTAAAGTCCAGTCCAGGGGGTATTTTTTTAGGATTATTGCTCAGAAACTTTAACAAGAGAGGGATTTAGGGGCACAGGATACTCCAATAATCCATCACAATCAGCAGTAACAAAAAAAGGACTGTCTTCCCTCTAGTCTGTCAATCAGCTTCTCTGGAGGTATCTAGAGATGTTGGTCTATTTAAAGCTGTAAACCACAGGGCAAAGATTAGCAATGGGTTCTCGTTCACTCTTCTACAACTGTCAATCCCAGTAAGATCCTTACTCACAATGTCCTAGGAGCTGTCTGCCACCCAGTCTGTCATCTCCCACTTCGTGGATCTACCTGAGCAAAGTCTTCCTCCAGACCTCCTGCTCTGATGCAGTGTTCTAAGTGGGAATCCCCTTCTCAGCTGTCTTCCTCAGGCCCCTTGGTGCAGCAGACACTTAGGGATCAAACAGTCGTTTCTTGATATGGTGATCCTTCTTCTAGGAGTAACAGCCCCAGAAGAACTAAAACCCTCCCTGATGAGGAAAGAACCCTTTGCTCAGAGCTCCAGTACATTCATCACCTCCTCACTCACCTTCTGGATACTCCTCTCCAGGGCTTGGCCAGGGCATGATAAATAGTCAGCAGGTCATTTTATTCTCCCTTCCTAAGCTCTGGAAGCTTTTTCCAGAGGCAGAGGAAAGCAGTCAAGCTCCCAGTCTTGGAATTCTGAGCAGACCAGAGCAATCAACCACCACTCCAGTTAAACTAAGTTTACCTAGCAGCCTGACTAAGAGGGAGCTACACCAACTTGTTGGAAAAGCAGATAACTGTTGTTTTAAGAAGCCTCTGCTGTGCTTTATATTAGTTTAGTGGGGAGGTTTTTTGTTCCTTTTGGCCAACCCCACCATAGGATTCTCAATTGTTGCTCAACCTTTTAACATGGAGGAGCCCTTCCCATTCTCAGGGAACCCCTGCTAATAATTATTACATCTGCAACCCATGGGACATTAGTGACATGGCCACTGGGATGATTTTTGGTCATATGGAAAATTCTCCCCTTACAGATTGCTGAAAAGAACAATGCTGTTATCTATAAGGCAGAAATTGCTCATTGCTCAAGGAACCCCCCAGCAACCTTTGGAGGAACTCTAGTTGAAAAATGCTAAGCTCGAGGTTCCATGTACTAGTTCGGAATAAAGGGAGATATTCAGGTACCTTCTGTTTTCTGAAGCATCTACTGTGCTTCACAAGGCAAGACAGAGAAAGAGACCTTATGAGTGGTTATTACGGATGAAATTCACATAGTCCATGGTCTAGGACAGCCAAGAGTGGCATATTGCCCTACACTATATTGCTGACTGTCAGCAAACTACCCCAAGTGGCCACTCTGCCTGTCTGGGTCATCTGGGCTCTCACCATTGTTGCCTCAGTTTTTGTTGATGGGATAGTCTACTGTGTGCTTATAGTTCCTCCACTCTGAGTTTATTCAGATAGAAATGAACTGTTATCAGAGTAGGAGGATAGTTCATCCTAGCCTTTTAGTCATCAACTCTAGGTGTACTGATATAAAGTGGGTGAACTCTCTCTTTCAGCTTCTCTACTACCAGATTTGGTGTGGCTCTTGTGGCAATGGGTTCTGAAATAAGTTCAACACTAATGTTAGACTGAAGATTAAGAGGGGTGGCACAAAACTGTTTGCCTAGGTCAGTGGTCTCCAAACTGCAGACTGTGGGCTGGATGCGACCCTTTACTTCCCTTTATTCAGCCCTTGAGCCACTATTCCTCCCTCTGACATCAACAGTGGAGCATAATTCCTCCCACTGACACCAGTAATGGAGCATGAGATCTTCCTCTGACACCAATGATGGGGCACTATTCCTTTCACTGACACTAACAATGGGGCACTATTTCTCCTACTGACACCAAATTTGGGGCACAATTCCTCCCACTGGCACCACCGATGTGAGCACTATTCCTTCCACTATGCCAGCCTTTCTCAACCAGGGTGTCCAGGCACCTTGGGGTGCCTTGAGGTTTCCTCAGAGGTGCCTTGGCAAAATGTCTAAAAGTTTTCCAACACTTGTGTACAAGCCAGCGGGTGGAAGAAGCCTGACTTTTTGTTACACAAAGCCACAGGTTTTCATTGTGCGCCACTACAATCAGTTGATAAGGAGGATGTCAGTTACCTGCACAGCATCCTTGTTTGACTCTCCCCTGTCCCTCTCCGTCAGTGCTGGGGTCACATTAGCTCAGTGATAGAGAAAATTTGAGAGAAACACTGTAATACTAGTCAGGACCAGTGTGCAAAAGCGTATTTGATTTGATTTGGAAGAATAAACCACCTCTACCGTTGGGTGTCCTACATGTGTGGATGATGCTGCGTTATGTAAAACTATTAGAATAGTTTTTACATTTTAGAATGGTGCCTCAAGACTGTCCATAATTTTAAAGGGTGCCTTGGGACTGTCCATAATTTTAAAGGGTGCCTTGGGACTGTCCATAATTTTAAAGGGTGCCTCGGGACTGTCCATAATTTTAAAGGGTGCCTCGGGACTGTCCATAATTTTAAAGGGTGCCTCGGGACTGTCCATAATTATAAAGGGTGCCTCGGGACTGTCCATAATTTTAAAGGGTGCCTCGGGACTGTCCATAATTTTAGAGGGTGCCTTGAAATTGTCCATAATTTTAAAGGGTGCCTTGACTGAGAAAAGGTTGAGAAACACTGCACTATACCAATGATTGGGCACTATTCTTCCTCCATGAAACCACAGGGGTGCCATATAGTTTGTGTAATCCCACTGACCACCAAGCCTGAAGCATTATCTACTCCTACTGGCCACAGTCCAGCCCCTATAAAGTCTGAAGGACAGTAAACTGGTCCTTTGTTTAGAAAGCTTCTAGACCCCTGGCCTAGGTGAACAGAAAAAAATAAATTTGGCCTTGATATTTGTTTTGGAACAACGTGCATTTCATCTGTATCTCAGAACCCAAAACATGCAGGTCATGGTCTACCATCTTTCTTAGATTGCTGAGCTTGGGACAATTTTGGAAGCACCACAGGCCAAATATCTCTTTATGTAGCCAAGAAACAGTTCATCCCGTGCACCATAGATAAACAGACTGAGGAATCTTGGAAGGCACATGAACAAACAGAAATTAAGGATTATTAAAAAAGCAGGATTATCCTTAGCGAGTATCTCTACAATGGTGTATCCAAAGGATGACATGCACAACACAAGCTGAACAGCATGAAGCATCATGGTTTTTGCAGCCTTGGAGGCTGAATCCCTTCTTGAGAAGATCCTCAAGGCAATCAGTGTGATTCTGATGTAAGTAAAAATGATTGTGAGTCCCGCAAGGGAAAATGTTAAGACCTGTGCAAAAATCCTTATGACTTCCTGCATGGGGGTGAAGGAAACAGTAGTCCGGATGCATTTCACATAAAGTAAGAAAAAGCTTTTGTCAACGGAGGAACTCAGGATAATGAGGTCAAAAATGTTAGGAATCAAACCAATCACCCATACCAACACAATAGCAAGAAACGTTCTTCGAACGGTGCAAAGCTCTCCATGTCTTAGAGGGAAGCATATAGCAACATATCTTTCTAAGGACATCACTGCCAGATTGTATGGCGTGACCTTCTGGGAGGTCGAGGATAAAGTGATGATAAGGTAACAGGCGGGGACAGGGAAAGCAACTTGATTTAAATAGAGGATAAAAAGAAGAAGGGTCATGGCCAGGTAGGCCGTGTCATTGATGAGCATATGGACAAAAAGGATGTAGCGAGCTGTTTCACGGGCAACAGAATTAGTGAAGAAGATAGTTAACATGGCTGACATAAAGAGCAGGAAGAAGAAGAAGCAGGTAAACAATGAAACTGTTATCGTCATTATTAGGACCTCTAGGTTTATGTTACCCAGGACGGACAATTTGGTTATATTGGGTTGAATGCCGCTGGAATTCACCATGCCTAAAAGATGACGGCAGACTTACACTGTGCCAAAAAAAAAGATTGATTATTAAAACAGGGAATAAAGGATAAAATGACTAAAGTCAAAGGCTGGCTAGTGCTCAATGTCAAATTTTAATTATTAGCCCACATGGCAAATAGTAATGTACAATTTTTTTACTTAGGCCATGTTTATATGTATGGCAAGATTGCATTTTACAGAGGCTTTCGACAGGCCCTCTCCTCACCACCTGTGTTAAACCCGTAAATGCTGCACTACCGAAAACTTGGGTAGAGATGTGCATGACGAAAAAATTTGCTTTCTTTCATTTAGTTAAGTAAATCATTTCATTTGCTCATGTTCATTATGAATGATTTGCTTTTGGAATTTATTTTGTTTTCTTATATTGGGATTTGTTTTATATATTTTTTATTTTTGATTCATATTTCTGAAGTTATTTTGGAAGAATGGTTATATTTTTTTTAATTTGTTATTTCAGGAGATTAACTTATGCACTCTGAGTCATCCCTGCTAGTCCAACCCACAAAGAGAAATGGAATGAGCAGACTGGATGATTTTTACTGTAACGAAAGCAACAAATGGAATGAAATCTTCCTTCCTCTTCCTCTTCCCTTCTTCCTCTCCTCTGAGCTACCGACCATCATCCTCGGGGACTTCAACATCCCCATCAACGACTACACCCCAGCTACCTCCCAACTCCTCCACCTAACCTCCTCCTTCGCGCTCACACAACACACTCAATCCTCCACCCACATCATTGGGAACACCCTGGACCTCGTCTTCTCCCACCTCTGTACCCTTAACCACTTCACTAACACCCCCTTCCCTCTCTCCGACCACCACCTCCTCACGCTCTCCATATCCCCTTCCCCTAACTCCCCCCCCCCCAGTGCGCCAAACCATCACCAGCCGCAACCTCCGCAACCTGCACCCGGTCCCCTTCCACTCGGCTGCCGACCGCTTACATGACAGCATCCTTCCACTGTCATGTCCTGACCTAGCCACCACCGCGTACAACGACTCACTATCAGCTACCCTAGACTCTCTGGCACCCCTAACCACACGCAACATCAAACCCAGACCGCTCCAACCATGGCAGAACGACCATACTAAATGCCTCAAACGTCGCAGTCGTGCGCTGGAGAGACTATGGCGCAAAACCAGGTCCCCCTCATGCATTCTCCCTCTACAAATCTGCCTTCCTCACCTACACCTCCTCCCTCCACGCCGCCAAACAGGCCTACTTCGTTGACCTGATCAACACCCTCTCCACCTGCCCTCGCCGACTCTTCTCCACCTTCAACTCCCTGCTCTCTCCCCCCCCCTCCTCCACTCAGTACCTCACTTACCGCCCACGAGATTGCCACTCATTTCCACAACAAGATTGACGCAATCCGCAAGGACATAGTCAACTTGCAATCTACCTCCCCATCTAGCCTCCCCCCTTCCATCACCCCCTCATCTCTCCCCTCCTCTGACCTCGCAACAGCACTGCCCCCCCACCACACCCAAGGCCCTGCCTACCGTAACCCCCCCATCACTGCACTCCTTCAGCCCTACTACCACTGAGGAAGTCACCAGAGTCTTCTCAGAAGCCCGCCTCACTACCTGCCCCCTGGACCCTATCCCCTCTCAACTCCTCCGGTCACCCCCCTCTTCCCTCATCCGCTCCCTTACCCACATCTTCAATCTCTCCCTCTCTACTGGCGTCTTCCCCTCCCCCCTAAAACATGCGCACATCACCCCCATACTCAAAAAGCCCTCCCTGGACCCCACTGACCTCAACAACCTCAGACCAATTTCCCTGCTGCCACTCACTTCCAAGCTCCTTGAGCGCTTGGTCTTCGATCGCCTAAGCGCCCACCTAACTGACAGCAACCTCCTTGACCCACTACAGTCCGGCTTCCGTCCCCTACACTCCACCGAAACTGCCCTCCTCAAAATCACCAACGATCTACTAACCGCCAAAGCCAAAGGCGACTACTCTGTCCTCCTTCTCCTAGACCTCTCCGCGGCCTTTGACACAGTCGACCCCCCCCTCCTCCTTAATAAACTACTCTCCCTTGGCATCAGAGACACCGCTCTCTCCTGGTTCTGGTTCTCGTCCTATCTATCCCAACGCTCCTTCAGCGTTTCCTACAACGGTGCCACCTCCTCTTCCCTCCCCCTCTCTGTTGGGGTCCCCCAGGGCTCTGTCCTTGGACCTCTTCTCCATCTACACCTCCTCCCTTGGCAAACTCATACACTCCCATGGCTTCAACTACCACCTCTACGCTGATGATACTCAAATCTACCTATCCACCCCTCACCTCACCCCCACATTCTCCGCCCGCATCACTCACCTCCTAAACGACATCTCTGACTGGATGTCGCTCCATTTCCTCAAGCTCAACCTCTCCAAAACCGAGCTTCTCGTCTTCCCCTTCCCGCCCCCCCCATCCTTTCCATCACTACCAACAACACCACCATCAATCCCGCCCAGCAAGCCAAGGTCCTTGTCGTCATTCTGGACTCAAACCTTTCCTTTCAACCTCTTGTCAAATCACTTACAAACACATGCAGGCTCCACCTCCGGAACATCGCCAAGATACGCTCCTTCCTTACCCCAGACACCACTAAACTACTCGTACACTCCCTGATTATCTCAGGCCTTGACTACTGCAACTCCCTCCTCACCGGCCTACCCCAGTGCAAACTCTCCCCGCTTCAGACCATCCTGAACTCAGCTGCCAGACTCATCCACCTCACCAGCCGCTCCACCTCTGCCACCCCCCTCTGCCTCTCCCTCCACTGGCTCCCATTGCCCAACGCATTAAATTCAAACTGCTCACTCTGACCTATAAGGCCATTCACAACACTGCCCCTAACTACCTCACCGACCTGATTCCCAGGTACCACCCTACCCGTACCCTTCGCTCTTCACAGGACCTCCTTCTGTCTTGCTCCCTGGTCTCCTCCTCCCACGCACGACTGCAAGACTTCTCCAGGTCCTCCCCCATCCTCTGGAACTCACTACCCCAGTCCATCCGACTGTCGCCTTCCCTCCTCACCTTCAGGCGCTCCCTGAAAACCCACCTCTTCAGGGAAGCCTACCCCACCCTCACCTAACAGCCGCTGCCCTTCCCTCCTCCTACCACTCCATCCCCCACAGCCATTTCCTCCTGTACCTCTACCCACTCCCTCCTAGATTGTAAGCTCGAAAGAGTAAAGCCCTCTTTCCCCTTGTGTGCTGTTTGATGTTACTGTACTGTTTCATGTATTGTCCCCCCCTCTATTGTACAGCGCTGAGCAAACCCTTTGGCGCTATATAAACCCGATAAATAAATAAATAAATAAATTAAATTATTAATTAATTATTATACAATTATTATTATCACTTGATAAACTCCCACGGCTTCAATTACCATCTCTATGCTGATGACACACAAATCTATCTGTCTACCCCTCACCGGGTAAGGTGAGGGGTAGACAGATAGATTTGAGTGTCATCAGCATAGAGATGGTAATTGAAGTTCTTCAGTCTCCACCCTCATCGCTAGCCTACTAAGTGACATATTGGCATGGATGTCACTCCACTTCCTCAAACTCCACCTTTCCAAAACTGAGCTCTTAGTATTCCCCCCAGCCCGTGCCCCCTTCCCTGACTTCTCCATAAATAACACCATCCTCAGTCCATCCCCTCATGCCAGGGTACTAGGTGTAATCCTAGGCTCCCATCTGTCCTTCCAGCCCCAGATCCAATCGCTGACAAAATCATGTAGACTTCACCTCCGCAACATCTCCAAGATACGCCCGTTCCTAACCTCGGAAACCACTAAGCAAC